AGAGAGACCAAAACGGATGTCAGAAGAGACTCTGAAACTTGCTGTTGAATGGAAAGTAGCTAAAGTGAAAGAAAGAAATAATGAAAAGAACTAAACAGAAGATTTCAAAAGGCAGTTGGACAGGGCAAAGTAAAGTATTATAATGAAATGTGCAAAGACCTAGAAATGGAAAATCAAAGGCAGGCGCACACTCAGTATTTCTCAAGCTGAGAAAACTGATGAAAAAAATTAAAGCCTCAAGTTACAATGTTGAAGGATTCTATAGGCAAAATATTGAACAATGCAGGAAGCATCAAAAGAAGATGGAAGGAATACTGAGTCACTGTACCAAAAAGAATTGGCCGAGGTTCAACCATTTCAGCAGGTAGCATATGGTTAAGAACCAATTATACTGAAGAGCTGAAGGAAATGGCAAAACACAAGGCTCCAGGAATTGACCGAATACCTGTTGAGATGTTTCAACAAATGGGTGCAGCACTGGAGGCGCTCACTCATTTATGTCAAGAAATTTGGATGACAGCTACCTGGCCAACTGACCAGAAGAGATCCATATTTGCGCCCATTCCAAAGAAAAGTGATCCAACAAAATGCAGAAATTATCAAACAATATCATTAATATCAAACAGAAGTAAAATTTTGCTGAAGATAATCCAAAAATACATTGACAGAGAATTGCCAGAAATTCAAACCAAATTCAGAAGTGGGAGTGGAACAAGTGATATCATTGCTGATGTCAGATGGATCTTGGCTGAAAGCAAAGAAAACCAGAAAGATGTTTACCTGTGTTTTATTGACTATGCAAAGGCATTCATTCAACAGTGTGGATCATAACAAATTATGGATAACATTGCGAAGAATAGGAATTCCAGAGCACTCAGTTGTGCTCATGAGGAACCTGTACATTGACCAAGAGGTAGGCGTTCTAACAGAGCAAGGGGATACAGTGTGGTTTAAGATTTGGAAAGGTGTGTGTTGGAGCTGTATCCTTTCACCATACTTATTCAATCTGCATGTTGAGTAAATAATCTGAGAAGCAGAGTACATAAAGAAGAATGCAGCCTCAGGATTGGAAAAAGACTCTTTAACAACCTACAATATGCAGATGACACAAGCTTTCTTGCTAAAAGTGAAGAAGATTTGAAGCACTTAACTGATGAAGAGCAAAGACTTTGGTATGGATTACACCTCAACATAAAGAAAACAAAAGTCCTAACTAACAACTGGACCAGTAAGCAACATCATGATAAATGGAGAAAAGATTGAAATTGTCAACAATTCCATTTTACTTGGATCCTCAACACCCATGGAAGGAGCAGTCAAGAAATCAAAAGACATATTGCATTGGTCAAATTTGCTGCAAAATACCTATTTAAAATGTTAAAAAACAGAAATATCACTTTGAAGACTAAGGTGCACCTGCCCCAAGCCATGGTATTTTCGATGACTTCACATGCTTGTGAGAGCTGGCTAATGAATAAGGAAGACCACAGAAGAATTAATGCATTCAAATTGTGGTATTGGTAAAGAATATTGAATGCACCATGGACTGTTAGAAGAACAAGCAAATATATCTTGGAGGAAGCATAACCGGAATGCTCCTTAAAAGCAAGAATGGCCAGACTTTTTTCTCATACTTTGGTCATGTTGTCAGAAGGGGCCAGTTCCTGGAGGAGAATATCATGCTAGGTAAAGTCGAGGGTCAGCCAAAAAGGGGAAGACCCTCAATGAGATGGATTGACACAGTGGCTGCAACAGTGGTCTCGTCCATGACAACAATTCTGAGGATGGCTCAAGACCAGGAAGTGTTTCACTGCGAGTCTGAACTGACTTGTGAACACGTAACTATAACAACAACATTATTGTTAAAATTTTGACGCACTCTGTTACTTTCTGGATCCAGTGAGCTTAATCTATACTGTATTTTTTTGTTCATTTGTTTCTAAAATTTCCACTTGGTTTTTCTTTATATCTTTCTTTGCTGCAACTTTCTATTTTTAAAATTTATTTCAAGCATGTTTGCAATGTAGAGGCATTTTTGTGAGACTTTGTAAAATACTTGTCAGATAATTCCAACATGTGTCATTTGGGTGTTGGCTTTCCAATCTATTTATTGGTTGAATTCTACTAAAAAGAGAGCTTCTCCTTCTGTTCTCCTTTTTATTAATTAGTATCACCATAGACTCAAGAAATCTTTTTTCACTCAATATGTTTTAACCTCTGTCTGTCATTGTGAATCTTGATGTTCAGGTTGGCCACTAGAAGCCCTGTCCTTATGACATATTCCTCACCATTTTGGGAGCATAGCCTTGCCATCTGACACAGTGTTTAAGGTTCATCCTGTAGCTTTACTGCCTTAGCTCTGAAATTATCCATTTTTCCAAGGAGTCATGTTACCTTTTAGAGGGCAATGGTTTTTAGAAACCAAGAGCCAAGATCTATGTCTTCTCATTACTACTGAGATGTCACTGTTTCTAGTTCATTTCAATGGACAGAGTTGAGAAATAGATTCTTATTTAAAAGAAAGAATGTGTTCATACTGATACCCCCAATCTAATATTACAGGATTATTCCTTACTTTATTCTCTTTCATAATTATATCCCCATTCTTCCACAGTGAGAACCTTACCTCAATCAGACAGTACATACATACACCCACACACACACTTCAGAATAGCTGCACCCATACTACTACCAACAGGAAACCTACTAAATGAAGTTCAACACTTCGTTGAGATTCTTTTAGTAAAAGAACTGTATTCAAAATTACTTAGAGTTTTCCCTCTCTATGTGGTTATGCTACCCATCTCATAAACTGTGTGATGTGATTGCATGTTTTTTTTCCCCTGATCCTTGTTTTGTATATTTTTAATATGTTACACATTAACATTATTCCATAAGTCAAAACTTTACAAAAAGGTGTATTCACAGAAGTACTTGATTACTGCTTGTTACTCACCTGTTACTGCTCATCAGGGATGGGAGGTTCAGTTTCCCCACTGGGTCTCTACTGACAAGGCCTTGGCTGGGAGAGGGAGGAGGGGGCACCATGTTACTGCTTCCCATGTGGTCTCCGGTGACACTGTGTGGGGGGAGTAGCTCATTTCCATGAAGTCTCTACCAAAGCCAGGCTTGTCTTGGTGCAGGAATGAGATCACAATGGACAGCAGATCTGGGTGTTTTCTTTTTTGACATCATGATCTCCTTCAAAGAGGCACGAGAGTGTGTGAACTCCCTAAAAACAACCCTCTAGAAGTCATTGGCATCATTTCTTGCCTAATCTTCCATTTTATTTTACTATTGTCAGGGCTTCCAAGGAAAATAAAATAGAAGCATTGAAGGAAAGTCAGCAGTTAAAGAGGTGTATATTTCATGTGTAGGAGCTCTGGTAGCTTAGTGCCTAAGGCACTTGACTGCTAACCAGAAGGCTGGCGGTTTCAAACCCACCAGCCACTTCTCGGAAGGAAGAGGGGGGCAATCTACTTCCGTAGTGATACTACCTTGGAAACCCAAGGAAAGGTAGCTATGAGTCAGGTCCCACTCGATGGCACATAACAACAACAACAACATATTTCATGTGTAGGGACCTACTATGGACCCACCCCTGTGTATTTCACTGGCAGTTGAAAAGTAGCCTTTCAGTTATTCCTAAAATCCTACCAGAGCCAACTTCAGGGAAGAGATGTACTAGCTCATCTTCTTCTTTGTAAATGATGTAAAATTGTTGTTTCTCCTCATTCCTCCTTTTAAGCAGCAGCAGTTGGGACCTAGCACAAAATCCAAGGGATGAAATAGTGTACAGTAGACAAGCAAATAGAATTGGTAGACCCTGCTATCTGAGTTCCACTTCTTACCATCTCCAGCACATAGATTCTGTATGTTTCAGTTTCTTCATCTATAAAATTAGCATGATGTTCATCATGAGATCATTGGGAGGATTCCGGTGAGGCATATAAAGCACCTAGCTCATAGTAGATACCCTGCTTGAAATCTTCCAAAGGCACTTTGTGGTGGTTATGTTTGTGTGTCAACTTGGCTGGGCCTGGTTGAGTGGCTGGGCAGCTGAATGTAGTATTCCCCATGATGAGACTGGTAATCAACTCCAGGTGCAATCTACCACAAGCAGCTGAGTAGCTGCCTTAGGGATGTAGTCTGCTTCCTGTATATAAGCAGAAACTTTGAGAATGGTCTCTAGCTTGTGGCATGCTTGGGCCCTGCATGTAGCCGTGTTGTTGTTCAGCAGCCTGCTATGCTCTGCCACCCTTGGGACATAAAATGAACTTAAGTTAATGGCCTGCTGTGTGGTTTGGTAACATCAGGAGTGTGCCTTTTTACTTGTCAACCTTGGGGCTTCTCAGCCTCAGCAGCCTGCAGCTGTCTGAGTGAAGAAACGCCTCTAGCTCCAGTGGGCCAGGAGCAGGAGGCAGAGCTGGATCCCAAGGTTTAGGGGCTTTCACCTAGCCCCTAGAGCCTGGCACTTTGAACTTGGACTTAAAGCCTCCAATTTGTAAGAATAAACTTCCATTTGTTAAGGCCATCCCATTTTGTGATATATTCTTGTTAGAGAGGCACTAGGTAACCAGAACTTACCTGTTAATGGAAAAAAAATATATAAACTCCTTGTGATGGTCTATCCCAGTGGAAATGCTCTGGCCCCTGCCTAACTCTTGGGTCTCATCTCTTCATTTCTCACCACCTCCCAGCCACAGTGACCTCTGTTCTGTTCTTCAGATACTCTAAGCTTATTACCACATCTGTGCTTTTGCATGGTCCCACCTGTGCCCATGGTCTCCATGAGACCTCCTCTGATCGATCAATCTAAAATTAGCACTCCCCCAGACACTTTCTCCCTTCACTGTGTTTTTCCTTCCTCATTTACTATCTGAAATGATCCTGTTCGTTGCATTTACAAGGGCAGGACATTTGTCTGTCTTATTTATCACTACCTCTCTAGCTCTTAACAAAGTGCCTAGCACATCATACATACCCAAATAACTGATGAATGAATGAACATGTGATAAGTCTAATGGTGCCTGGCCCATGCTACAGACCCATTAATGAGAACTAATGCTAACTCCCTATCCAGAATCTTCCCAGTGCCTAGATATTTCCTTTCCCAAAATGTTCTACCATTCTGCAGTCAGCAGGCTCAGTTTGGGGTTGGACCTAGCCCAAGCAGGAATTAAAACTTCGATTAGGCCTCCTAACATATATAACTTGTCTTCATTCTAACCCAGAGACAGTGACCCTCAGTTTCTTCGGTGGCACAAAGCTGCTATTACCTAAGAAATGGTATGCCAGAGCTCAGCCTCCATTTTTGGCCCAGACACTCCTTCTCTTACATAAGACAGAAGTCAGCCTGGGGTTGAGAATATAATCTGTTACTCTTGGAGTAGTTGAATATGCTTTGACAGGAGTGGCATAAATAAAGAGACACAGCCAAGGGGAACATGTATATTTAAAATTCCTCCCCTTCATTTTCTTCTTCAAATGAATCAGTCCCCACTTCTTCATAATCCTTCTCCAGGGCAGCCAGGTCCTCCCTGGCCTCGGAAAATTCTCCTTCTTCCATTCCTTCTCCAACATACCAATGCACAAAGGCCCGCTTGGCATACATGAGGTCAAACTTGTGGTCCAGGCGGGCCCAAGCCTCTGCAATTGCCGTAGTGTTGCTCAGCATGCACACAGCCCGCTGGACTTTGGCCAGGTCCCCTCCTGGCACCACGGTGGGTGGCTGATAGTTGATGCCCACCTGTGGAACAGAGAGAAAGGAAGAGCAACAGAGGAAGATGCAAGTCGGTCAAAGCATAGCTGGTTGGTAGCTCCTCAACACTGGGCAGCTTGGTCCCACCAGTGTGGTAGCAAGACAGAGTCATGAGTGTGGAATGGGACTACAGGACAGAAGGTGAAAAGAGGGAATCAGGAGGTTGGGGAGGCAGGCAGGTGGAGAGAGGTGAAGGCTGAAGGAAAAGTGTAAGTGAGTGGGATTGAGTACAGGCAAATTCAAGGGACAGGAGTTGAAAACCTGGAGAAGGAAAAGAAGAGAACAGGACTGGAAATGGACAGAAATATTAGTGGGATGCTTCAAGTAGACAAGCTAGAATAATGAGTGATAGTATTAAGAGAAAGGTATATAGTATATATGTATGTCTAAAAGGGAAATAGTTGCTGTTACTAGCAAATTAAATTCTAGACTTGAAATTAAAAAGTTTATTCTTTCCCCAATGATCTCTTGAGTTCCTCTTAGTTATGCTGCCAGTAAATTTAGAGAAGTTATTTAAGGGTCATTTAAAAGGTCATGGGGTTATTCCAAAGCAATAAATCAAATGATCCAGTAGGTCTTGGACATGGTAATGTTGTTAACCAAGCCCTGAGGAATGTCTCTGGGGAACCAGGCTTCTTAGAAGAAAAGGACTTCTATTAAAGAAAATTGGTTAAAGGACTTGCATGAACTAGCCAGTTTCCCAAGTTATAGTAGCAGAGCCAGGTCCCCCAGACTAACCCCAGATAGGCTAACAGTAAGCCTGTAACCCAGAGCTCTCCCTTCTACCCACAAACACATATACCAAATACAGGCCAACCCCAAGAACTGTGGGGTACCTAAAGAAGTCAAGGATGACAAAGTGTGATATTATTTATGGGACAATGAGAACCATGGTGCTGCCCAAGAATACCTCTCCTACCCAAGCCATCAAGTCTTAATTGCTAATCTCTTAAACTCATAGCTTTAAAATGCACATCCTCTTGAGTAGGTGAGATTCACACCAGGCAGTGGAGAAAACACTCATTTAATAGGACCATCTGAGTGGAGGAGAGTGATGCTGAGAAAGGGGTAACGGGCTGGGAAGGGAAGGGCAATGAATATAAACTTTGCCACATCACATACTTTGCTAGATTTGGCCCTGCCCAGCATAAATTCTGTGCCTGGAGCCAACTCTCCTCTCTTCTGAACAGTAGCATCCTTTGACCTGAGTCAAGTGGGGATAAGCGTTCTTGGGAAGGATACAAGAGGATGAAGTTCAGCAATATCCACCCTCATGGCATGTGCTCTTTTGAAATGTAGCCAAAGATGTAAGTGCTACATTATTTCTCTTTTAAGACATGATCCCAGAGTTACAGCTTAAAACAAAAAGGAGAATGAGAAGACTTTCACTTTTTGTCAGTTTCACATGTCTCTCATTTTTTTCTTGCCCCCCCAATAATTCTCCTACTAGCTTATTGTTTGTTTTCATTTGAAAAGAAAAAAAAAAAAAAAAACCTTCATTTAAAAAAAAAAAATGCCTTGACTCTTTTGCAAGAATGACAGAACTGTTTCTCTAGTTATCTGTTTTTCTCTAAGTCATGCTTTCTCACCTTGAAGCCTGTGGGACACCAGTCTACAAACTGGATGGTCCTCTTGGTCTTTATGGCAGCAATAGCAACATTCACATCCTTGGGCACCACGTCCCCCCGGTAGAGCATGCAGCAGGCCATGTATTTGCCATGTCTCGGGTCACACTTCACCATCTGGCTGTTGGGCTCAAAGCAGGAGCTGGTTATCTCCGCCACAGAGAGCTGTTCATGATAGGCTTTTTCGGCAGAAATGATGGGCGCATAGGTGACCAGAGGGAAGTGGATGCGAGGGTAGGGTACCAGGTTAGTCTGGAACTCAGTGAGGTCCACATTGAGGGCCCCATCAAAGCGGAGAGAGGCAGTAATGGAGGACACAATTTGGCTGATGAGGCGGTTGAGGTTGGTATAGGTAGGGCGTTCAATGTCTAGGTTCCTGCGGCAGATGTCATAGATGGCTTCATTGTCCACCATGAAAGCACAATCTGAATGTTCCAATGTGGTGTGCGTGGTCAGGATGGAGTTGTAGGGCTCCACCACTGCAGTGGACACCTGTGGGGCCGGGTAAATAGCAAACTCCAGCTTGGACTTCTTGCCGTAATCCAGAGAGAGGCGTTCCATCAGCAGAGAAGTGAAGCCAGAGCCAGTGCCCCCACCAAAACTGTGGAAGATCAGGAAGCCCTGCAAGCCAGAGCAGGCATCTGTCTGGGGAAAATAGGACATGAGAAGAAAACATGAAGAAGACAAACAAGTTTCTGGGAATAGCCCCACATGGACTAAGCCAAGCAACCCACTCTATCTGACACATCCCATCCCTCAACATTTTTATGTGGGTGAAATCAACACAGCCTTGGAAGAATAAGGAAACACAGAAGGAGTTGCACTGATCTTGGGCAGACTAGCTAAATATGGAGTAGACATGGCATACATACAATTTGCACATCACATACAATATGTACATGCTTATAGACACACAAATGTTTCAGCGCATTGTCTTGGTTCAACCAGGAGTAAGAGTTCAGAACCACAGTGACTAATGCCTTTGTCCCTTGAGAGCCCCGATTCCCTGCACAATTCTCCCACCCTGGTCATCTAATTTCATATGAACTGCTGACCAACCTCTACATCTCAGTCCAACCTTGGAAGGTGGTTCAGAGTCAGAGAACCAGAGTTTTAATCTCAACTTTTCTGTTTCCCAGTTGTGAAAACATGAACAGGTTACTGAACCTCTCCAAACTTCCTTTTTTTTTTTTCTTTGTTAAATGAGGACAATAAAAAGATTCATCTTGTAAGGTTGTTGTGACAATTAAATGCAATAATATAATGCATTGAGCAGGAACCTAACATGTCATAAGTACTAACAGAAGTTTATAGAATTATAGGATGTTCACAGTGATTATAAACTTAGAAGGATCACAAACTGTTTTGAGACTGATGACCCCTGTAAGCCCTTCACTACACAGAAAAATAAACATATACAAAGATTTGGCATCCTTGGCTCCCAGGTAAAGAGTGCCTGATCAAGACCAATCTAATTTTAACAGGTAAGCAAGTGGGGACTCAAATAAAGTGATCTACCCTACAACTCAGAATTTAATAATCTGACCAGCCTGGCTCAAATCCTAACTGCACTTTCTAGTTGGGTAACCCTGGCTAAGTTATTGAACCACTTGGGCCCTCAATTTCTTCAACTGTAAAAGAAAAGATCTTCTTCATATCATTATTAGGGTAATTAAATGAAGGAATATATTTAATGTCTGACATTTGTAAGTATTCAAATATATCAGCTCTCTTCCCCTTCCTTCTCTTACAAGTTAAATGCTTTGTTGATCTATGCTGCCAATGAGCAAAGACCTAAGCCTCTGGAACTTTCCTCAGATACTAACCTGGAGTATTATACATATGAACAGGGTATCAGCCTGTAGGGTAGGCCATGATGCTCAAGTGGAGGAAGGGACACCATCCCTGTGAATGCTTCTTACAGAACAGAGCAGAAATTTCCTCTTCTCAGGGAATCATGTGTTTATTTACAGAGCCTGTTGACTCCAGCCTGACTCACCAATCCCCTGCTCTTTTTGACACTTACCAGCTTCCGTATGCGGTCCAACACCAGGTCGATGCTCTCCTTGCCCACTGTGTAATGGCCCCTGGCGTAGTTGTTAGCTGCATCTTCCTTTCCTGTGATCAGCTGCTCTGGATGGAAGAGCTGGCGGTAGGTTCCTGCCCGAACCTCATCTGCCAAGAGTGGGAAACCATCAGGTCTTACCACCTGGGTCCAGGAAAGAAGCTTCCCTCCCCATTGGAATACCACATGCCATGCTTATAGGTGTCTCTCCATTTCTCCCATCTGCAAAGGTCCACTGAGGTGGAATCAGAACCATTAGAATAAATCTGTTAATCCAGAAGCTTGTGACGGGCAGGCAATGAGAAGCAGCTGCTCTATGGGCTGGAACTTCAAAAGGCCTCAGGTTTGCAAAGCTTACCTAATGCCAGAGTTGACTGCCTCTCCTTCCTTCCACTTTGACTCCTCAAAGCTTTCCTCTTGTTTTTTCTTTCATGCTTCAAAGTTACCCTTGATACCAATAATCTAACCCAAATTCATTTGTATAAAAATGTACTAGGGATAAGGAGAGAGAGTCAGGGTGATCTGTCCAGATCTTACCCTCTCCCAGGAACTGTCTCACCCCCCCCCCCTCCACTCCAAGGTGCCAATAACATAGGTCAGGCTTTAGAAATATTTTGGAATGACTCTGAAGCATTCATTCCAGGTTTATAGAGCAGGAACCCTAGAGAGGCTGTCAGGGGGGGTCTGGATATGTGGGCAACAAAGATGCTCCAAGACCCAATTTCATTGCCTTTTTAGTGTCTCTCCACTACCCAAGAAAAGGCACACATTTGCACAGTAGCATGGGAGGGCAACCTGAACTTTTTGTATGTGCACAATGCATCCAGGATACCTGTAGTCAGTCACCTCTAGAATCTAGTGTTCTAATGACAGGAATTTCCCCAGACATCTCTGTGGAACTTATGAGCCAGCCTTGAAGCTGAGGAAATCCTGATGTTGAGATGAGGCTTGACCCAGGGGTCTAATCCCAGGGCAAGTGGCAGGGAAGGGGGGGGGAGGGGAAGGGGCAGAGCAGCAAGAAACAGCCAGACACAAGTCAGAATTTCTCGGTTTTTCAAGCTCCAAATGAGGTTCATTCAAGCTCCAAATGAGGTTCATTCTAGAACTACAGCAACCCCTAGTGGTGAGAGAAAATGCCTGCTGTTACTCCATTTTGTGTGTAAGAGACTGCAAGAAGTGTTTTACCAAGAGGGAGAACAATGTGGAACAAAACTCAAAATCATTTGGAGGCAAAAAAAAAGAAGGTGGGGACCAGGTTTGCTGGTCCAATAGAGCCTGGTGTAACCACTGAGACTATGGCCCCTAGCTGCCCTTCAGGTCTGGAATTGAACCCACAACTGTGGTTTCCAGCCAAACAAAGTACAGGCATGTGAGTTAAACATTTACCTCAAGTAGACACATGCCCTGGAGAGAACAATCATGGGAGAAGGAAGGCCTGCTTATGCACAGGGAGATAGCTCAGGGTGCAGAAGAGTATGAAGGGATGGACACTGGGAGGAGGTAACTATGGGGAGGAAGTGGGAGGGGAGCTGCTGCATTGTAAATTTTGGTCAATGACATGAGACAAAGTATATGTGAACTGCTGTATGAAAAGTGAATTTACTCTGTAAATCGTCACCCAAATCCTAATAAAAAAAAAAAAAAAAAATTGTTTTACCAGAGCTGTGAGGACTCAAAAAAACAGTCCCTGCCATCATGTCAATTCCAGTTCATGGTGAGCCTATAGGACAGAGTAGAATTTTCCCATAAAGTTTCCAAGGCTGTAATCCTTTTGAAGGCGACTGCCACATCCACTGACCTTTTGGTTAGTAGCCGAATGCCTTAACCATCATGCCACCAAAGTGAGGATAAACTGCAATTATTTTAGAATCAGAAACCTATGCTTTGAGCAAACTGACTACTTGAAAGTGTCTTAAAATTTCTAAAGTTGTTTTGTTTATACTTAGTATTTATTTAATAACAATCTTGACAGTTTTGGTTTTTCTCTGAGGGTTTCAGGGTTTAAGTTGAGGGCATTTTGTTCTGTGTAGGTTAGAGCTATAATGGGGGGAACAGAGATCCCTGATCCCTATTGTGAGACTCCCCAAGACTGTGAAGATCCCAAAACGCTGGCAAAAGCCAGGGAGCTCAACAGAAGGGCAGTATTTGCACAGAGAGCTAGCTGAGAGGGCAGGAATGCATAGGAAAGGGAGGACATGAACTACAGGGAGGAAGGGGGAAGAGAGCTGTTACACTGTGGGGAATTGTACTCAATGTCATGAAACAAAATGTGCATGAACAGGCTGTATGGAAAATTAATTTGCTCTGTGAACTTTCACCCAAATCACAATAAAAATTTAAAAACAAACAACCAGGAAGCTCTAATTCAGCCACCTCCATCTTCCACTTAGAGATTCTGCTTCCTTCCTTGTCCTGGACCAAAGCCTCTGCATTTTTGTGTTGTGTTCTCTGTGACAAGATCGATCTCATACTCACCCACAACAGTAGGCTCCAGGTCTACCATGACAGCCCGGGGCACATGCTTCCCATTGCCAGTCTCGCTGAAAAAGGTGGTGAAGGAGTCATCATCATTGATCTTGCTGGCCTGGACACCAAAAGTGCCATCAGCCTGGATGCCGTGTTCCAGGCAGAAGAGCTCCCAGCAGGCATTGCCAATCTGAACTCCTGCTTGACCCACATGGACTGATATGCATTCTCGCTGTAGAGAAAGAGAGTGGAGTCAAGGTCAGAGAGTTTTTGGCCCCTCAGCCTGCCTATGCCCTGCATCCCTCACATCTGAAGACTTGTTTCTCCTTGGCATTCAGCTTCCAGGGAATTTATCCCTTCAGTCACGCTCCTCCAGAACCAGGTGGTGTCAAAGGTTTCAGGTGCATAGGCCCTGTAGTGGTTATGTTTGTGTGTCAACTTGGCTGGGCCTGGTTGAGTGGCTGGGCAGCTGGTGGTAGTTATTGGCAATTAACTCCATGGTGGGATCTACCACAAGCAGCTGAGTAGTTGCCTTTGGGATGTGTTCTGCTTCCTGTATTTAAGGAGAAGCCTTGGGAATGGTCTCTAGCTTATGGCACCTTGAACCCTGCATATAGCCGTGTCGTTTTCCAGCAGCCTGCCATGCTGTGCTGACCTTGGGACTTACAATGGACTTGAATTAATGGCCTGCCGTGTGGTTTGGTAACATTGGGACTGTGCCTTTTTACTAGTCAACCTTGGGCCTGGCAGCCTTAGCAGCCAGCAGCTGTCTGAGTGAAGAAAAGCCTCTAGCTTCAGTGGGCTGGGAGCTAGAGGCAGAGCTGAAGCCCAAGGCTGAGGGGCTTTCACCCAGCCCCTAGAGCCTGGCACTTTGAACTTGGACTTAAAGCCTCCAAATTGTAAGAATAAACTCCTGTTTGTTAAGGCCATCCCAT